AAGATCCTTGCAGAAGGAAGGAGATAATGTATAACCCTGAAGAAATTATAGTAGGAAGTTAAATGAGTCTTTTCTGGACTTGGGACGAGTCACATGTAACCTTGGATGTTAAAGTGAGGTGGGCTGGATGAAACCATTGAATTCCTAAGAAACAGAGAAACAAAATTTCATGGCCCTTTCCCATTACCCCTCCAGATTTTAGCACAAGAAATGTTTTGGAAGAAGGTCGTCAGTACAGCAGATGGCTGTGCTGTGGCATCTCTCTCCACCCCCCAGCTGTCAGTAGAAGAGAAGTGGGAGTGCCTATTCCCCCTCAAGCTAAGTAAGAAGAGGAGCAAAATAACTGCTGCAGAGTACAGATGCTTACTCCTCACACTGGCCGATGCCATGAGGTTCAAGATTTTGTAATGATGGCCCAGCCCCACACAATGTTACCAGAGCAGCGAGCAAATTAATTCTTGAGAATACTGTGTGTTTCTAGAATTTGGCGGCACAGGAACGGGCAATCATTACTGTGGGCCAAGTGGACAATATGGAGATGGATTGAGTAGGCTTGTTGGGCTCACACACAATAGGACTGCCTGGTAGGGGATGGGAGAGTCTCCAAAGGACCCAATGCACCTTCCAAGAGAGAAAAGCATCATGTGGACAAATCCCATCACATGGAGCACTCCACACCCATGTGAGAACCACACATTGTACCACCTAACTAGTTTTTCCTAGTCTTTTGTCTGATTTGAGAAGTGTGCAGAGCAGCGATTGGAAGTGGGGAGAAGGAAGTGGAAAGAAGGAAAGAAAGACATATAAATACCTTTGGGTCAAGCCTGTGCTGGGATGGAAGGAAGAAAACATGAAATTGGAAGTTAGTTTTTATGTCAATCAAAATTAAAAATTTATAACCTGAGAATGAGACTGCACTAGTACCTAAACACACTGTGGATATATTTGGGGCTGAAGCCAGAAATCAGAAGGAGCATATTGGAGAGCAGTGGGAGAGAAAAAGGAAACTATCTTAAGTTTAAACTCTACAGAGTTCAGTCTGTTTAGTAAACCAGTTATATAACAGTGATATAGTGCAGAAAGTGCTAAGGCTAGGAAAGATTTTCATCTGTCTGTCTACTTGATACTCATATTCACATGGTTGAGAAATAACCTCTTAAAGGGAGAAAAATATTTTTTCCTTTTGTGGCCAGAAGTATGTGTGTTACATTTCCCATTTCACTTTGAAAAGAGAATTTTCAGGGGAGAAAACAGTGTACTAAGCAGCTTTGCAAACTATTTTAATGTGGAACAAACTTTTTAAGCATGGTGTTTCCATTTGACACTTCTTTTTCTCTGCTCCTTTTGTCTTTTTTTAAAAAATTATTTATTGCTGAGCGTATTACAGATGCCCCCTCCTGTCCCCCTATTGTCCCCCTCTATCAGGTTCCCATCTTATCTAATCTATGCTATCAGAACCAAAGAAAGTGTCTATATGTTGGGACAACATCACTCCTCCTTATAGACTGAAATTTGCCTAGATAAGAGTCAGAGTATGCACTATACCCTGAAAGGTTCTAACTCCCAGCCATTCAGGTGGGTTGAGGAGCAGGGCCTGAGGGCACAAAGCCTGCAGCAGAAACTGCTCAATGGGAGCCAGCGGCAAGCCAAGAGACTGGATGGCTCTAACCATATTGGCCAACTTATGTTTAACCTGAAAATGCTTCTTCAGTATGAAAAAAGCAGCTTGTGCATGATTACTATAGTTTAAATTTCCACATAATACAGTAATAACACAATAAAAATCAATTATAATAATAATAAGTGGCTAATAGTAAGCATTTATCATGTACCAGGTATTATGCTAAGCTCTTTACAGGCATTATCTTATTCAATACAATAATCCAAAGAGGTAAGTAGTGCTATTATCCCCATTTAATAGCTGAGAAAATTGAGCCTCAAAACAATTTGTGTATCTTACCAAGTTCACTGCTAGCAAGTGGACGAGAACATTAATTTAGATCTGCCTAACTCTAAAACTCAAACTCTTAATTTCAGATATATAAAATTAGTCATAATTTGAAGTAAAGAAAACTGCAAATATTGAGATATATATACCAAGGGCTTTGATACTAACAAGTTTACACTATTTTGTAAATTACAGAGGTAAATCACATTGTTACCTCTATCCTTCACCTTTTCATTTATCTCTCAACAATTATGTTATAAATATATAACTCATAGAATATTACAGTTTAATTAAATGAGAGAATTGCTGTACTGTAGTCACTTTTGCATATTTTTTTCATTTCTACCATAGCATATATTTCAAATCCATATCCTAAAATGTGTTTCCCTCCTGAGTGTCATCTTTTTAAATAATAGAGAAAGCATTTCCATTATGCAACCCAAATATATATACTGTTTTGATGACGTAACACATTTCAGAAATAAAATACAGGGGTATCTCTATCTAAAACTTGTAATAAAATTGTACTATAGATAAATATAAATGTACATTAAAGTAAAACATATTTTTATTACTATTTTGACATCTTAATAATAAAATGTCAAACTAAATCAATTTACTTTATATTTATTTACTACTAACAGTGTTTTGATGACTAGAAAATTCAAAATATATCTTAGAGGAAATTGCAAAATAATTAACTTTTTGGTGTGTGGGAAAGGAGTAATTCTAAGGCAAAAATGCTTCACTAAAGCTGCTTTGGTATTTAGAATATTCTAGTAAATAAGAGAATTTTATAAGGACATAAAACTTTCAATTCCATATCCTGAATGTGACACCTTTTCTCTTCTAAGCAGCTCCATTGATTTTCAAAGTTTACTTGGTCTATTAGAGCAGGATCATCTTTTGAAATATAGGACAATACAGGACATATACTTAATAGAGGCAGAGTGAGCGACTGGAGAGAACATCTCAGGGTATTGGTGTCTCTTTTAATCTGTGCTGCCTGACGAGACAGGCACAAAACTCAACACTTGGTTCAACACCATTAGTAGCTCTAACCCTGTGTTGTACCAAAGCACAGGAAACATAAAGTAGGCAGTACCAGCCTTCTTCAACTCGCTTTCAAAGGAGAGCATTTCATGCATTTTTCATGCTATTTCTCTTCTCTTCCATAAGATTTTAATGGACTAAAGTATGTCATGTATATAGAACTCGATAAAATGGAGAGACAGGGGCTGTATAATTGAGGTAGATGCAGAAACAGTCGAGGGAGAAATCTTTTAAAACGCATCACCTGAATACATTTGAGCTGGAAAAGTAAGTGTTTTTTACTAAAATTCTTTTTAATAGCACAAGGAGATTTATGCTATAAAAAAAATCTAAAAGGATTATTCCTCCCAAACAGATTATTTATTTTCAAAATGAATATTTATAAAGAGCCACTGAATTAGGCAGTAATCTTTGCCTTTGTTTAAACACAATTAACTATATGCAAAATAAGGCAGAGCTTTTTAGAAAATATGTATGCATAAGTACTAATATTGGCAGTTATTTCAATATCTGCACAGAGAGTACATAAAATGAGGAGCGACTAAACTGTTACACTCTTAATTAATGAGCACCTGTACACAATGAAAGCATGACTGATTTTATGAATGCATGAAAATCCAACCAGGCAATTAATGTTCAGTTAAACTCACACTATTGAAAAAGTAGCAAATAAAACAACTTGTAATAGGCAAATCACAAAAGCAGAAAAGTTGGATTTTCTGTGAATGAATCTTTTCCAACATATTTAGACTACTTTATCTTGTACTTTCTTGGTTGCTTAAATTTTACATGGAAAGAATTGGAATATCTTTTGTAAGGTTATTCACACTTAATGCAGTAAGTTGAAGATTTGAGATTTTTTTTCTTAAAAACAGCAACAACAAAAACAAATGTGTTTTAGAGAAACACTTTTTTTAAAGGACCAGACGTGGTGTGTTTTAGAGAAAGAATCAACTCTTTTGATAGATTAATTATTATAAACTTTTATTAAATTTGTAAAAAGTCACAAATCACATTTTTGGTCCAATTCTGTAACTATAATACAAAATAGACACATTTAATTCTTAGTTTTCTATGTAAATGTGTCTCTGTCCTAGGTGCTGGTGTACTTAGGGACATATAAAAGAATAAAAAAATATTCCCTTTTAATCTTTCAACAAAGACACATGAGCACTAGTGCCTGACACTACCTGGTGCTAGAGATAGAACAGTGAACAAATAAAACAAAATCCCCATTCTCAGTGCACTTATATTCTTTTTAAAAAAACATTTTTATTGATTTTAGAGAGATAGGGAGAGGAAGAGGGAGATAGAAACATCAATGATGAGAGAGAATCATGGATCAGCTGCCTCCTGCATGCCCCCCACTGGGGATCGAGCTGCAACCTGGGCATGTGTCCTGACTGGGAATTGAACTGTGAGCTGCTGATTCATGGGTTGACACTCAACCACTGAGCCATACCAGCTGGATGACTTATATTGTAATGATTTTTGAGATTCATATGTTATCATTGAGTTCAAAGTCATTAAGTTTTGTTTTTTTTCCCCCTCCGTGTATCTGCAATCTACCCCCTTTATTTATCTATTGTCTTCAGATTGTTCTCATCAATATTATTGACATTTGTGTTTACCTAAGCTAGTGCCTTACTAGATATTTTTATATCCAATTTTATAGGGACATAAAAGATTAATCTTTTTAAAAATGTATTTTTATTGATTTCTGAAAAGAAGGGAAAGGGAGAGAGAGATAGAAACATCAATGATAAGAGAGACTCATTGATCGACTGCCTCCTGCACACCCACTACTGGGGATCAAGCCTGCAAGCCGGGCATGTGCCCTAACCTGGAATTGAACCTTGACCTCCTATGTTAACCCAAATGGTTTTATGAGGTCAAGGTAAATGAATCTGGAAAGATTATACTAAAGCAAGCAATCACAGTTAATTCAGCTTGATGTCAAAGTGATTAGAGGCATAACAAATGGAATTCTCACTCTTACCTGCTTCATTGGTGCGGATCATTCGAGATGGGGTGCTTGGATCTCCAGTCCCAATTGGATTGGTGGCAACCACTCTAAATTCATATTCCACCCAGGGGTTCAAGTCCACCGCCATGGCTGACTCCATGTCCCCTGTTATGATTTCTGGGACTATGGAGAGACAGAGGTTTCATGTCATTAGGAGATTTCATGTCATTAGGAGGACTGGAAAATGGTCACAACTAGCAATCAAGGGTACCACAGGCACTGACAGGATCCGCAGGCTGATGCCTACTTCCTCATCACACATGGCCATGGTGTCACCTCTGGTCTCATTAGTCAAATCAAAATCAATCTTCAGGAAGTAAGCACTTGTTGTAGTTATTTAGAATTCTTTCCACCTCATCGTTATACATGAATTGCCATACTATAACTTGCCATTATCTGTACTAAAAATCATTGTGTCAATCCCTCAGCCCCAGAGAAGACACCCAGTGATATAATTTAAGCAAACAGCTCTTCAATTTCTAGGGAAACTTCTTGAGTAGTTTGTCTCTTCCAGTTCTGGCAAACATGCTTAGCCACTTGGCAGTTCCAAGCAGCAGATTAACAGCACACCTTTCCAATTTAAAAACTCCAGTTTGTAGGAGCTAAGGGGAACCTCTGAACTCTTCTTGGAGTGACTTTTGTACTAAATTTTGATTTTATTAAAGTATAAGATTGTTGGTCAATATAGTTACCACATAGTAAAATTTCTTACATCATATGTATGCTCTATTTGAGACTGCCTTTCTTGTTCACACATCTCTGCTGTCTAGGAAATATTTCTGGAAGAACATTTATTACAGGGGTGAAAATGGGGGGAGAAAAAGATCACCCTTAGGATTTGCAAAGATCCCCTGGATTTGTATCCCGCCCTGGGTTTCTGTTTAATCATGGATGGGAGGGGCTGGGGAGCTCTTGATTTGATGACTCAGTGCAGTTTTCGCTATGACAAGGTGGAATTAAATGCATTTGGATTTCTCTCGAAAATCTCTTTTGAAATGCATCAGGAGAATTTTACCAAATAATCAGCTCTGTGAAAGGTGAAGGCGGGAGTATAGACAGTGTGGTTTGCCTGACAGATTTCACAGCCCTTGCACAGCTGATTTTTTAAAGCAGGGAAATGAAGACCTGGAAAAAAGTCTGTCACCTCTGCACTGGCAACTGAACAATAAATATCCCTGGAGTCAAAGAGATGGGGAAGGGGGGCGGGGGAAAGCCACTGTTCAGTCCATAGCTTGCTGAACTGCTGAGCTGTGCCTGCCAAACATAAAGGTGGGAAGGAGAGATCCCCAGACACTCAGACTTCCCCAACCCCTAACCTACCCTGTATTGCCAATACTTGCCTTGGGTCCACAAGGACTCACCTCACTGCTTCATGTATTTCAGTTTATGTCAGTCTCATCAAGCAACTCTAGACCTCTAGGTCATCTCTCATCTTTTTTACTGGAATCCCCATAGAATTCTGCTCATTTGCTTTTCTGTCCCAGTTACCATCTTTCTTTAGTCTTTGAAAATCCTTTTGGTTTGACCGTTGGAATTCATAACCTACCATTAGCAAAATTCCCTGTGTACTCATTCTTTCCTCTGAACATTCTTCCAACTGTTTAATAGGATCCCGAATCCCCTCTGAGGACACTTACTGCTTCTCTAGGGGTGGCCATCTTAAGTTACCGTAAAGAAGAATAACCAGTCCATCTCAGTTGTGTTTCTCTCTCCTCCCTACCACCAACCAAATGTCTCTAATAGATTTTTTTCCATCATCATAACAAGCAAGCAGGTGTCTTTCCCACCAAACCAAACCCAGACAGACAAAATTCTCTCAAAATTTCTTATCCTTCCAGCCTTCACTCAGTTTCTATGCTTCTTTTATAGCAAAACTTCTTGAGGGTTGTTTGTGCTATTACTTGCTGTCACTGATTAGTTTTCTTCCATTCTCTCTTGAGCCCACTCCAATAAGTCCAAATTCCTTGCATTTCATCTTAACTGATTCTGTCCAAATTACCAATGGTCTCTGCTACTAAAACCCTATGGTAAGATTTTTCTTCCTCATTTTCCTTGAACTAGCATCATCCTTTGACACAGTTGATAATTCTGTTTGAAATGTTTTTCAAAATTTAACTTTTGTTTTTCTCCTACCTGACATCTTTATCTGTCTCGGTTGCTGGGCTCTTTTCCTCTTCCAGATGCATTTCAGTTCTAGGAGCTCTTTCCCATTTCCTTACTCCATGGTGATCTAATCCACTCTCAGGGTTTTAAATACCCTCTGTATGCTGATGCCTCTAAAATTTCAGCAATGAACCTCCTCCCTAAATTCTAGGCCAGTGATGGCGAACCTTTTGAGCTTGGCGTGTCAGCATTTTGAAAAACCCTAACTTAACTCTGGTGCCGTGTCACATATAGAAATTTTTTGATATTTGCAACCATAGTAAAACAAAGACCTATATTTTTGATATTTATTTTATATACAGTGGGGCCTTGACTTACAAGTGTCCCAACTAACGAGTTTTTTCAAGATACAAGCCGTCTCTTGGCCAATTTTTTGCTTTGAGTTTCGAGCTAAAATTCGGGTTACGTATGAGCCAGCTTCAGATACCCCACCGCTAGTTGGCGCAGCGAACGTCACAGTGATTTGACATACAAGTAATTTGAGTTACGAGCTCCGTCACGGAATGAATTAAACTCGTAAGTCAAGGCCCCACTGTATTTAAATGCCATTTAACAAAGAAAAATCAACCCAAAAATGAGTTCGCGTGTCACCTCTGACACGTGTGTCATAGGTTTGCCATCACTGCTCTAGGCTGATATGTCCAATGGGTTATTAGATATTTCTACTTGGATAAGGCTTTCAACCTGAAGTCCCCCTACCTACTTCTGGAGTATTTCTTATTTAGTATATGATGATTGCATTCTTATAGATTTTGTAGCCAAAATATTGGGGTTGTCCTGAATTCCTTTCTTTTTCCCCTGTCCCACTCCGCCCATAAGCAAATTATGACATTTTTGACTGCGAAATATATTGATTTTTCCATTTCCTTTTGCAGCAAAACTCCTTAAAAGACTTGCCCATATTAACTTCTTTTCCATTATCTCTTGCATCCATTTTTGTGAGACTTGAGTCTTTACTATTGTACTAAAACTGCTGTCGTCAAAGTCACCAATGATCTCCATGGTCAATCCTCAGTCCTCATATTGACAGGTCATCAGCATTTGACATAGTTGATTACATTCCCCTCCTTGATATACTTCATTCTTTTGTCTTCCAGTATATCACATGGTCTTGGTTTTCCCTTTAACTAAATTGTTGCTTTCCCTCTGTATTCTTTGGTTGGTTGTTCTTCTCCACAACTTCTTACTATTGAAATGTTCTAGCCTTCCATTTTATAATCTATTTTAAATTTATATCCTTGGAGATACCATGCAGGCTCATGATTTTAAATGTAATTTATATGCCAATAATTTCCCAATTTTTACCTTTATTTTAAGTCTCTCCCTTAAAATCCAGGCTCATTTATACAGGGTGGGCCAAAAGTAAGTTTACAGTTGTTCATATGGAAAATATAATTAACAAATAATAATAATACAAGAATAAACCCTGTGTTGCCTGTACTCATAACTATAAACCTACTTTTGCCTCACCCTGTACAATTACCTACTTGATATCCTTAGAGCTACCATCTCCAAATATAGTCACAATGGGAGGTTAGGGCTTCAACATTTGAATATTTGCGGGGTGGGGAAACTCAATACAGTCCATAGCAGGCAGGCTGAAATTTGTTTATTCATATATTTTTAAATAATTTTTAAAACTTTTCAATTATAGTTGACATACAATATTATATTAGTTTCAGGTGTACAACATAGTAGTTAAACACTTATATAACTTATGAAGTGATCACTCTGATAAGTGTAGTCCCAATCTGACACAATACATATTCATTACAATATTATTGACTATATATCCTAAGTTCTACTTTACATCCTTGTGATTGTTTTTATAACTGACAATTTGTACATCTTAATCCCTTCCCCTTTTTCACCTATTCCCCTAACCCTCCATTCCATCTTGCAACCATCAAAATGTTCTCTGTATTTACAAGTTTATCTGTTTTATTTGAACATTTATTTTTTATTTTTATATTCTGCATATAGTTGAAATCACATGATATTTGTCTTTCTCGGTCTGACTTATTTCACTTAGCATAATGCCCTCTAGGTCCATCCATGTAGTAACAAATGGCAAGATTTAATTCCTTTTTTGGTTGAGTAATATTCGATTATATATATGTACCACATCTTCTTTATCCACTCGTCTATTGATAGACACAGGTTGCTTTCATATCTTGGCTATTGTAAATAGTGATGCAATAAACATAGGGGTGCATTTTTTAAATTAGCATTTTAAGGTTTCTTAAAATAAATACTCAGAAGTGGAATTACTGAGTGATATGGTAGTTCTATTTTTTATTTTTTGAGGATCCCCCATACCATACTGTTTTCCACAGTGGCTGCACTAATTTGCAATCCCAACAGTGCATGAGGGCTCCCTTTTCTTCACAGCCAGGTTGAAATTTAAAATAGAGTGTTTGGGATAAGCCTCACTGAGAAGGTACACTTGAATAAACTTTTGAAGGAAGTATAGGTTTAGCTATGCCAATATCTGGGGGAAACATCCCAGATTGAAGAAGTAAATAGTGCAAAGGCATTAGAAGCAGTATATGCAGGAACATAAGATCAGTGAGTCAGGAACAGAGTGAGTTTTAGGGCTACCACAGATTCTCTTTACAATACTATCTTTATTTTTTCCATTCATTAAGTTCTCTAATACTATATAATTTCCTTGTTTATTAGTTCTCTCTTTATTGTTTGTCCTCACCCATGAGAATACAATCTTCACAAGGATAGGTATTTTTTGTTTTGTTTTGTTCACTCATATATCCTAAGTGCCTAGAATACTAGCTGAAAGCTGCTTGATAAATTTTTATTGAATTCAGAATAAAAGGGGAGTTCAAATAGTTGTGATAAAAATTGGAACAGTTTCTGTTTTAATTTTGATATAATTATTCAGGCTGTATGTTCAAAAGGAACTTTAATTTAAAATATAAAAATATCCTTCCTCCCAAAACTACATATATTTATATTTTCTTACCATATAGATTTTAAAGTTTCCTTCCCATTTCCCACATCTTTTCCACCATCCTTAATTCTAATCTCTCTTTAAAAAAGGAAAACAAAAATAAGATTTAGAAATCCAAAATTCATTGCTACTTGTAAGGGCTACAAAAAGCATGAGTTGAAGTTATTAATATTTTTGATGAAATAATGTGCAATATGAAATTAATTAGAAACAAACTTTTAAGTAAGAATTAGGATTTTTGTTTTCAAAAGCAATATTGTGGAGATTAAAGAAAATGGAGAATGTACACCAAAGTAGGTATTTTTAAAGCCTGGCAGGTATCTATAATAATAAAAGGGTAATATGCTAATTAGAACGGATATCCGTCCGGACAAAGCCGGGCCAGAGGGAAGCCAGCCCGGGTCCCGGGTGCCAGAGGGAAGCTGGTGCTGGCACCAGGGGTAGCAAGGCCTACTCTTGCACAAATTTCATGCATCAGGCCTCTAGTTATATTATAAAGATGTTCTTTCTGGAACAATGGGGATAAGACTATTTCAAAGAAAACATTCTGCTTCATAGACAACACACATCAACTAAAGACAGTGGAGGATCCCATATTGATTCAGGGAGAAATTTGTCAAAAAGCCTTCTAGTGAAATAATTTCATCCAAGACTTTCATTAAATAATTATATGAAAACTAAATAAGCCTGTCTGGTTGACAAATGTAATCAACCAATCAATCAGTGGAAAACATCCAAGGACAGAAGATGTATCCACTGATAGAAGAACAGTAAATAACATATTTGAATTAACAATGACAAATCAATTCTATGATTATAAGTGATTTGTTATTTCTAAACAGACATAGTTAAAAACTAGGTCAGCTGATACTGCTCAGTAATATGAAGAAGAAAGTTAGGTTTCCAAATCAAAAGCAATTTGTTTAACCAGGATAAGGGTCTGCAAGTGAAATTATTTTTTATCATTGTTTTCATACTCTCTTCAAAATGAGTAAATTAGTCCCATTCCCAGTCACCTGATGTGAGTCTGATTTGGGGGTAGGCAGTATTAATAAGTTAATTCCAGATGTGCTCAGCTAGAAGGTCCAGGTGCAACTCATTACTTCATTTGTCAAAAATGAGGGACTCACTATTCTTTGTATTCATGTTGATGTATGAAGGAATCTTCAGTGCTTTTTAAATACTAGCTTATGAATTGCATTAACTTTATCAGAGAGTTCAAACCCATTTTTTTTCTAATAGATATTTATGCCTTAGAGCTTATCTCTACTGAAATTGTTTTAGATGAGGGAGCGACTATTAAAACAAAAGGCCCACTGCTGATGTGGCTCTAGAGGGATTTCTTTCCCTGTCAGGAGCATGAAAGAAGTTGTGTCAGACTGTGCTAGGAGCTGGTAAAAGCAGACTACATTTAAAACAGCTGTTTTAGAGCACACAAGCATTGAGGACTGATCTTTGGCAGGTTTGCCTGGAGGATGTCATGCCTCTACCAGTAGCTCCAAGAGATGCTGAGTTTTAGAAAAACGAGTGGCCTCATTAGGTTAAGAGACATCCTGCTAGAGCCCTATTACTATCAAGGGCAAATAAAATCAATCATCTATAGAAATATATTTCTGAAAAAATGTCTCTTTTCTTATATATTGCAATCACTGATTTTTTAATAAGTACTTGCTGAACAGAATTTTAAAAACCCCCAACTTAAAATGTTTCCAGCATCCAAGTTATATTTGAAAGATAAAGATGTAACTTTATAGTAAGGACTTCTAAAACAAATAACCCCCAAACTAACATTTAGTTCAAATGCCTGAGCTTCCCCTAACGTACAATTTCATCTGTCCATAGCTTGTGCCAAAATATTCAAAGTTTATATATATATATATATATATATATATATATATATATATATAACACCTATCTATCTTTCAAGCATCTATCAAACAACAAAAAGTAGAAACAGGTGAGCCAAGATGTTAGAAACCAAGAAATAAAAGTATCTAGGAAACTATGGGTGTAGTAGGAGGAAGAATAGATGTCCGGGATTGGCATACCATGAGTTAAGGTCAGAGGGGCCAGAACATGGGCATATGATGAGCAAGTAAATGTGTACTGCAACGTACTCACAAGGAAACATCCTCAAGTAGTAAGTTGTATGGGCAGGGAGACAAGAGTGGGCAGGGAGCATAGCAGCAGGCAGGAGAATGGATTTGTTGAGTGCATTCATAACACCAAATCTGAAGGTGAATCCATTTCCTGGCTGCAGAACAAAAGACTTGGGCTGTCACACTGAGGATAATTTGGGAGCACTAGGGCAGAGGTTGTAAGAATTCTTGTGTAAACCTATTCATGTGGCTCGAATTTGTGTTCTTTTCAGAGTTATCTACCAAACTTAGAGATTCCCCCAATTTCTTGGATCTGCAGAGGCATCACAGGGTTAAAATGAAGCTAGAAATGAGGCCAATACCCACAATTATGTATATTACAAAATAAATATATGAACATGTATAGTACACAATAATGACGATCAAACTGAATTCTATAAATTAATATAGACACCTAATATCAAGAAAAACTTGAATTATATTTTGCAGGTAAATATATTTCCTCCCCCTGCAAATTGTAAATTTTTACACAAACGTAAGTTTTTCTCAAATTTAATTTATTTAAGCAACAAAATGGAACACATCACTCCTGCAACATTCCAGTTAATTGAGTTTTATGGTTACTGCACTCAAATACTTTATTAATTTTATATTTTACTTCTGAACAGGCAAATCGATTTTATATTTAGGCAGTAAAACAAAATCACAAATCCCTACTCAGAAGGGACAACTGCATCTGAAGATTAGATTGTATAGACCAGTGGTTCTCAACCTGTGGGTCGCGACCCCTTTGGGGGTCGAACGACCCTTTCACAGGGGTCGCCTAAGACCATCGGAAAACACATATATAATTACATATTGTTTTTGTGATTAATCACTATGCTTTAATTATGCTCAATTTGTAACAATGAAAATACATCCTGCATATCAGATATTTACATTACGATTCATAACAGTAGCAAAATTACAGTTATGAAGTAGCAACGAAAATAATTTTATGGTTGGGGGTCACCACAACATGAGGAACTATATTAAAGGGTCGTGGCATTAGGAAGGTTGAGAACGACAGGTATAGACACGGTATACTTTTCAAATACCAATATGTTAAATAAGTTCCTAATAACTATCAGGAGAGTATGATGCTACATAGCTTTATACAGACACATTTGGAGAGATAGTGGAAGTTCAGTTGTAACATAGGATGGAAACCATCTGGGAAGAAATGATTTCTGAAATAATTAAGATATAATGCAAATATTTTAGAAGCAGGCATTAAAATTCTGCATTCTTTTAAATAATGTAATTTGATGTTAGATTTTCTTTTTGTGTGTGATTATAAAGAGGTAGCAAGGAACTGGAGTAGTGATCAGTGGTGGTGACTTGAATCTTTACAATAAAATTTTATGGAATTTTATAGGATTTACACTAAAAGTAGCATACAAGAACTGGTGAAATAGGAATATAGTCTGTAGTTTAGTTAATAGCATTGCACCAATGCCAGCTTTCTGATTTGATAATAGTGCTATTGTTATGTTATCCTGGGGGGACTCTGAGGGCTGTGTCCACAGGAAATCTGTGTTATTTTTGCAATTTTTATGTGAGTCTTAAGTTATTTCAATAAGTAAACAAACAAACAAATATAAATGATGTGGTTCCTCCCTGGGAATTAAGGAGAGAAAAAAAGGAAGGCAGATTTATTAAAAGAAGCAAACAATGGTTAACCTATAATAATAAAAGGGTAATATGCAAACCAACTGAATAGGCTGGTTTCGGACCGATCCCACAGGGATCGGTCCTAAACTGGCAGTCGGACATCCCTCTTGCAATCCAGGACCACTGGCTCCGAATTGCTTGCCTGTCTGCTGTCCTGATCCCTTAACTGCCCTCCCTTTGCCAGCCTGATCACCCCTAACTGCCTCTGCCTTGGCCCCGCCACCATGGCTTTGTCCAGAAGGACATCCTCTCTAATTAGCATATTACCCTTTTATTAGTATAGATATGGCAAAATAGCTCATGATGGGAAGCTGCTCTAATTACATCTGATATTGCCTTCGAACCTCTTACCTGTTTTCACTGTTTGCCAGCCCAGGGAGAATGGGCTGCGAGCCTGCAGGTTGTAGGAGGAGATCGGGCTGTGGTTGTCAGCTGCTGGACTCCAGGAGAGTGTGGCTGTGTTTTCGGTAATCTCTTCAACGATCACTATCCCTGGTGGGCCTGGGGGACCTACAGACAAAAGAGAATGGATAAAGTTGAGTACAGGTTGTGATAAAGAGCCATGAGGAATTGTATTTCCATGAAGATTTAATAAACCTATGTAATTGTCTTTAATGGAATACATATTTAGTAATAAAAATTGAAAGTGAACAGTGATGGGATACAAGCTGGTTTTTATGATTTCTGGGGGTAAAATAATTATAGATTAGATTTTTTTTCTAGCACTGTGTGCTTAGAGGCAACTACCAATTACCATTATATTTTATAGGAAAAGAAAAAAATAGAAACAAACACAAGAATGTCGATATCAACTCTGGCTGTTGAAATCAATCACAGCTTATAGAGGCAGCAACAGGAAGTGATAGGCAATGCTATCAGGCACAAAAACTATCCCGTTATTACTAATAAAGTATGGGTGCATAGGCCTACTTTTCATGCTCAGGAAACCTAAAATGTACAAATATTCGAAAGTGACTATCAAGTAGCCTAAGCTTTTACAGGGGAGATATGAAAGTTCAGAGCAAGGAAGAGCAAATACTAGAATGAGGTATAAAAAAATCGTGGGAAGTTAAAAGGATGGTGTGATTATATTATTATTATTATTATTATATTATTTATTGTATGAGTCAGAGAAGGTTATTTCACTTTTGATTATGAAAAATTAATATAGAATAGTGATGATTAATCTATATACATGTATGTAGATTCTAGCTTGAAGAAACAACCATGATCTGATATGAGAAGAAATATACCTTTGTATTATAACTTCTAAAATAGTGGTTTCTAAAATAGCATTTAAAAATATGTACTTACATTTTATTGGTTAAAAAGTAATTGGTTTTCTTATTGACCTTTTTCTATTTCCTAACATGGTCAAATCAAGCTGTAAGGATACTTTTATTTTCAATTAAGAAAAACCTCACACTTAAGTACTTTATTTTCTGAATTAGTCCTTATGTAGGAAGTTGATGTTTGGATTTGGTGATTATGAAGCCTAAACAGTAAGGGCTGAATTGGACTGTAAGAAGCTAAGAAATGGGATGCTAAAGAGATGCAGGTGGTTAGAAAAGACCTCTTGGTAGAGAATTTTAAATTTAAAAGCCTCATTGGGCAAATGACATTTTTAGGAAATGAGAAATTAACTTTTTAAATTATCACCTGAGGATATTTTTCCATTGATTTTTAAAGAGAGTGGAAGAGAGAAATATCAATGTGAGAGAAACAGATAGATTGGTTGCTTCCTGCATGTGCCCTGACCAGGGCACAGGCCGGGGAGAAGCCTGCAACTGAGGTACTCATGCCTTTGACTGGAATCAAACCAGGGACCCTTCGGTCCACAGGCTGACACTCTCTGCACTGAGCTAAACCAGCTAGGAAGAAATTACCATTTTTTTATCAAGACTGAGAAGAACCAGCACCAGATAGCAGAGACCAAAGATTTAGAAGACAGGGACTACTCTATCAGGAAGGTGACAAAATATTAGGATTGTGCGCAAAAGTATTGAAAATAATCATGAGAAGTGACAGTTTTTCCCTTGAAGAGAAATGAAGAAAGAAACAAAGATATAGAGAGAAAGTTTTGGGCAGCTGAGAGAGCTCATTTGGGAAGGTTTTTATATTTTTTCAATAAAGAATAAGTAAAGGTAACTGGGTGATAATGGGACTGAGAGCTAGAGAAGAATGGGAAATGTCTGGGATAAGTACATGATAAAAGAGGAAAGACATGAATCTAAATATTTTGGAAAAGTATTGGAGTTCAAATTTGGCTCAATAGCATCATTTTGAGGTAGAACTGACTGAATAAGCAAGGTTGGGCTGGAAAGCCAGGACTAGGGACAGATAAAATAGTTAATTGGGCCCATTTAAGTTTAGGAGTTTGTAAATTTGATATGACTTATTATCAAAGGTGCCAATGTATGAATGACCATGGCATCAAGGTAAACTAGGGAGTCAAGTAAAGACAGAATGGTGCTGATAGGCTAAAATAAAAAAAGGAGTAAAGGAAACCAGGTTATTATGAGGGGAAATTATAAAAATCGAAACTTGTATTGCGAGAAGAAAAATTGCACAATTTGTTGGATACTTTTAAATGAGAACTGTGTTTATCTAGAATGAAGTGGAGAGTATGATTACCAGGGCTGAAAAGGTCAAGGACTTATGGAAGAGTATGTTGGACGTGTCACTCCTATGAATGTTCAAAGTATTAAAATAATGGCTACAGATAAAATGAGGGGAAAAAATGAGATCCAGGTGCTGAAGAAGTCTAATAAGTTGTTAGACTGTGGTGACAGGGATATGGAGGAGAGATTATAATGATGATAATATAATGATAAGGCTATTAACTATAATAACAATACTAACAGCTACCATATCAAGGCACTGCATTAAGTATTTTGCAAACATTAATTGGTTCATGTATTTCTATGTTACTGGAGTGGGCCTTACTATCCCTATTTCATAGGGAATGTAATAGAATCGAAAAGAGATTGTTTAGTCAATAAATGATAAATAAATCACTTAGTCAATAACCTTATTGTATGTCAGGTATTATGCTAGGCAGTGGGTGTCAGAGAGTCCATTCTAGTGAGAAGTTATTTGCCCAAGTCCCTGTGCTAGTGGACAGCACAGTTGAGATTTAGCCCTTTGGTTCTGAGCTCCCTTTACTGTTAACCTAGGAGTTGCTTCAGTTGAAGGAAGAAAAGAAAAAGTAAAGGCTTTCCCTTGTGTAAGGGAAAGGCACATTTAAATCATGAGGGAGAGATAGAGATGGCTTTTAAAAAACCATTTCGGGCTCTGTGGCAGCTTGTGGCCACCATCTCTCCCTTCCTTGCCTGTACATGCAGGTCAGTACCTTATTGAAGAGTGAAGCCTTCTACACTTTCACTTCCTTCCATCTGGGCTGGCCTGGGAGTATTTGACCCAAAAGATAAGAGTAGCAGTGACATTGCTTGACTTTTGAGGGAGGTTACAAGCAGTTGTGCAGCGTCATCACAGGTCTCATGGAACGTTCATGGGAAAATCCAGCTGCCTTAGAAGTCCGATTAAACAGAGGCTACCATTCTGTAGCAAGTCTAAGCAAGCCAACTGGAAAGGCTCATGGACAGAGGGAGAGCCAAATGGCCCCCAGCTATTCCAGACATCCCAGCCCAGGCACCAGACATGTGAGTAATGAAGTCATTTACTTGAGCTTCAGCCACCACAAAACTCCTGCACATGAGCAATCCCAGTAAGAACCTGGCTGTGCCCGTCAGCTGCCAACAGTATGAGAACAAATAATAGATTGATGTTTTAAACCACTAAGTTTTGGGGCAGCAATGAATAATTAGAACAGATTTCAAAATAGTTTAACTTGAGAGTTTGTTCATAGGAAATTTGTCAGGTGGATCTTTCAGATATTATGAAAATAGACCTGAAATTTAGTTAATGTGTTCAAACAGGGTTAATTATCAACATAATTCAGTTCTTGAGGTCTTCTGTATTCCATTTATTCTGTTCCATTTTATCCATTATATTTATTTACCTCTGAAAAAAGCATTTATTAACAACCACCTATGTGTGATAGAAAATATTGTGGAAAATAGCTTTGTTAACTTAAATAAAGTTATTTGTCTTCTGAGTATTATAGCTCTATGAAAACGTTTAAATTAGTTCTCTTAAAAGGTATATTTCTTTTAATAATAGATAATAGGTAATTGCTTTAAATAATGATTTAATAATTTCAACTGAAGCAAAAAATAAAATTTACAATATAATTGATAAATCACCAAGTATTTTTCTCTATATGTGTCTATTTTACAATATAGTCCATTGCAAAATTATCAGTGACAGTGAACAAGGTTTATGCATCCTGGACATGATTGTGGCTGTGCAATTATTTATAATTACAAAGCATTATAAAGAACAAACTGTCCAATCATGTAATGCTCAAATCATAACATCTTATGATAAAATATTAGGCAGCCATTAAACTGCCTAATAAAGCAAACTATTTAATGATATGGGAAATGTTCACAATATAAGTGAAAATAGTGGAATGCAACTTTATATGTAAACATAAATGTAGAAATAGTAATTTGACAAATACATAAAGGACTGGAAAAAAGGGCATTAAAGTATACATAATAGTTATTGCTTGGAGGTGTGACTGTAGATGATTTAAATTGCATTCTTTATATACTTGTTTGGATTTTCAAATTCTGTGCAATAAGCATATATTTGTTCAAAGTTATTTTAAAAATCACTATTTTCAAGAAAACCTCCATATCGTGATATGTATGTGCTAGTCTAAGTATATTCTATTTAACTAAACATTTACTGAATGCCAAGTATGGGTAAACACTGTGCTGATGATGGGAGATGGGGGTCAGGTGGAGATGAATGGTTTACAGGAGGACAAAATAGGATTCCAGCCCCAGTTGTGTTAAAATCCAGTGGCAGACAGATTTTTTTTTTTTTTTTAGAAAGAAACAGATGTCAGGCAGTGATAATGTTATGTTTAAGTGCTTTGGGAGTATATTTTATATTTCATTATAACACTTGTTACATTGATTATAATTACTTTCTATAATTTCTATTTGTCTGAATAGTCAACATGTATTTGGCATCTATTAGGCCCTCAATGAATATTTGTAGAAGACATTAAAGGAAAAATCGAGAAGAAAAAGTCCATCAGGAGTTATGTTTTGAGTTTGAAACATTGTGTAACAACAAGTAAAATATATTTTAAAATAATTATTTTAAAATAATTATTGTTAAGACAAATATCCAATATGATAGCCTTTTTTTGTTAAATCAAAAAATATTTGAATTAACATTTTCTTAGTCAAGCTTAGAGTGGGATGGTAATAAAAATGACAGAACAGCTCCATGAATGAATATAAAGCTTCTCATTATTTAAAAAGGTTCATTATTATTAGAAATTTACTATGAACAGATCATTTTTCTAAATTCTTTTTTTAAAAATCCTCACCTGAGGATATTTTCCCAGAGATTTTCAGAGAGTGGAAGAG